ACGACACACACACACACACACACACACACACACACACACACACACACACACACACACACACACACAGAGACACACACACACACACACACGCATATATATCAAGAGTACACAATAGAGATTATGATCAGTAGGTCGGTGTTCTCACCGTAGATACGCAGCAGCAACATGCCTTCAACGCCGTCGCCGCCGACGCCGTCGTCATAGACGCCAACGATCTTGTTAGTGATTCCATCGTTGAAGACCTGAGGACATACGTATTATACAGTGTAACCACCTCTACCGTATATATATATATATGTATTATATGCATGTATACATTACCTGTAGAGTGCAGACGTGCGTATTATATGTGGGGGGAATTTGAATATTAAAATGATAGTAGATAAAAACAAATTGTATCTACTACCAGTCTTGAACTTGAAGCAAGGATTTCAAAAGGTCTTCCTGATTGTTCTCGTATTTTCCCACTCACTACAGTACTTACTGGTATCACTTGCTTAACAGCAAGTGTCTAAAGTAACATGTTAACATGCAGCTAACATGTCTTAGAACACTTATACACCCTTGCTTTCACGAAAATATACAACAATTGAAATCTGCTTGTTTACATCATGTTGACGCGGTTACATGATGATGCCACTTGTTTCTCGCAAGACTCCTGTCCCTGTACTGTTACCTGTTAACATGAATTCAGCAATAGAGATGTTGTACCAGTCTAGAACCACGATGTCACTCAATGAGATGCACTATTGTCAGGTGGTTTGTCGCGAAATGTCGCGAATTGTCGCTATACGAAAGAATACCCTACCCACACTGTAGCCCGCGCTCACACATATGCTCCCCGACTCAAACAACAAACTTGTACTTTTCACGTTTGACGTGTCTGTGTTGCTGTACATCAGTCACTAGGTGACCTCATACACTAATCTTTATAAAAACGTTCCATCACACCATTAAATTAGTTGGAGATAGATTGCAACCAGTACTGAAACATGTACGTGAGATACAGTCACAGTGTGGTAGATATAGGAAATATATATCAAGAGTACATAATAGAGATTTTGATCGCGATGCAGAGATGCGAAACCTCACGCGCCTTCACGCCGCCGGCTGCTGCCCTCCTCTATACGCACGCTTCAACAACGGACTCTGCTACGGCTATGCAGTCGGCACGTGTCCTTCGGTCGACGACATAGCTACCGACCCAATCTACAGGTGAGTGAGGCGACAGGTAACCTGTTATGGGTGACACCGTGACAGGTTACCTGTGATATGTAACAGGTAACAAGGTAATCAATGGGTAACAGGTAACGAGGTAATAGGTAACCAGGTAATTTACAGGTAATGAGTAATGGTCTGCTGTGTGTAGGGATACTGTACTAGAGTGACAGAGACTTCTGTGCGGTGGTTTAGAACGGGCTTTATTGTTGTGCACTATTGTTGTAATCATTGTTGTCATTATTGTAATTGATGTCATTGTTACAAGAGTTTGTGGGTGTGATTGTTGTCCTATTGTTGTCACATTGTTGACCTAACTGCTGCTGTGATGCTCTAGGAGTCAATGAGTCAGTTGTGAGTCAGTAACAACAAACTGTCGGTTGTGTTGGTTGCTTGTCTGTGTATTGTTTTGTGTGCATTGTTGTGTGTGTATTGTTGTGAGGCAGTGTCAGTGTGTGGAGGAACAAACACCAAGCCACTTGCTATGTTGTGCTGGCTGTTTCAGGTTGACTGCGAAGATGATGGGGAAAATGCACGAGATAAAGCCGTCCGCAGGGGAGCTGGTACAGCCTTGTCTGTTCAGAGTGCTACATAAGTGGCTGACTCTGGTGCCTGAGAGATTTGCAGACACTACCATGAATGACAAGTAAGGCTGAAGGGGTCGTTGTCGTATCAAGTACTACATATATGTAACCGAGGTACATATAGACAAAGTGTACCAGACTTGTACTACAGAAGTGTACCCTAACCCTAACCCTAAACATACCTCATATAAAAATATAAACATAATACTATACAACCTAAAACTACCTCGGGTACATATATGTAGTAAGCTACCTGATACGACAACGACCCTTCGTGCAGTAGGTTGTGAGCATGCAGGATCAGTCTGGTTGTGCACGATTGGTTGGTTGGCCAAATACCAGTTTAGCTTCCAAATGGTGTTTGTGTTTCCACTCTACCTGTCCCCTGACACCACATGCTCCATGACTAGGGTTCTTACACAGGTTCTGGAGAGTAGTGGAGTGTTGATATCTCAGACGAGGAGAGCCCTGTAAAATAGCCTACGGGTCCTGAAAGATTGGGGAATTATTGTTTGGTTTAGGAAATTCTTAAAATTCAGTACGTCTATTCCTGGTATGTGGGGCAGGTTACTTGCTTGTAGTCTAGTACCAGTGATGGGAAAGATTGGTGACAGTAAATTCCTAGCAGGCACGAACATGGGTCGTCAGCTCTGGAGATTTTGCAGCAAAGCAATGCATGGCCGTGTAACAATTGTATATTAACTCCTGATTATATTAATGTACATACACACACACGTGTGTGTGTGTGTGTGTGTGTGTGTGTGTGTGCGCGCGCGCGTATGTTTGTGAGTGCATGTGGGTGTGTGTGTGTGCGTGTGTATGTGTGTGTGCGTGTGTGTGGGTGATAGTGGGCGCGCGTGTGTATGTGTTTGTGTACACCTGAGCTGACCATCCCAGTGGATATATGTGTGTGTGCGTGTTTACGTGCATGCGTGTGTAATTATGCATGGTTCAGAGACTGAGTAAACTATAGATTGATATAAAATTTCTTACCCTAGTTAAATTCGTGAGTTTTCTTCCCATTTTCTATTAATCAACGTTTGCATTTTGCTTGCATCTATGCGTTGGGCAATAGTTAACTATCTGTGTGCAGCTAGCAGTTAATTAACTCTCTCTCACTCTCTCTTGCTTGCGTATCGTAGATACAGAAGGCACGTACCAAACATAGAGACTCTGCGAACAGAAGTAGAAGTGTTGGAGCATCACCTAGTGGACCTCGATTCTCCCGTCGTATTTTGCCACAATGACCTGGTCTTAAACAACATTGTATACAACAAGACTGAAGGTACGTGAGAGGTCTAGGTAATGTGGTAGCCACGAATATATTATATCAAGAGCTAATAATACATAGAGTGTACA